GGTGACGGGGTGCCCCTGCCCAGGCAGGTGCTGACAGTGGACGCCCGGAACCACGGCGGCAGCCCCCACAGCCCGCTGATGACCTACGAAGCCATGAGCCTGGACGTGCAGCACCTCCTGACCCGCCTGGGGCTCACCAAGTGCCTGGGCATCACCAAGTGCATCCTCCTGGGACACAGCATGGGGGGCAAGACGGCCATGACGCTGGCCTTGCAGCGGGTGGGCAGGCGCAGGGCGCGCGGGGCTGGGGGGAGCGGGAGGCGGCGGGAAGGGGGGTGACACCCACGGGAGCTGCTCACCGGTGCCAGCCTTGCCCACCGCCCCGCGGGGGTTGGCTTTTCTGCATCACCATCGGGGTGCTGTCCCGCTGAGAGCTGCAAGCCGGTAGCAGGAGCAAGTCTCTGTCCGCCAGCCCACGCTCCAGCACGGATTGTAAGGGAGTGTGGAGATCTCCTGTGCCAACGCACAGGAAAATGGGAACGTGGAGGAGGGCATATGAGGCACTCCACTGAGGCAGGAGGGAGCGAAAAGCCTCCAGGGAGTCTGAGTGGGAGTGGAGCCCCGTGCCCAGTCCCGCTGGGGACATCTCGGCTGGCATCTATCTGCCCTGCTTGTTTCCCCAGCCAGACCTGGTGGAGCGCCTCATCTCTGTAGACATTAGTCCCGTCTCAACCGTACCTGTCTCCGAATTCTCTGCCTACATCTCTGCCATGAAGTCAGTGAAGATCCCAGATGGTCTGTCCCGCTCTGCAGCCCGCCATCTGGCTGACGAGCAGCTGCGTCCGGTGGTCCAGGTAGGAAGTCACGCTCCTCGGATGGGGTTTCCCCTCCCAGCCTGTCCCCAGGACCGGAGCACGGGGCTTTAGGGCCACAGTCCCAGCGGGACTCCTTCACCCCTGCTCAGTCACCGCTGGAGGACATCTCCCCAGGGCTGCAGGGGCAACGGGGAATGTGACAGCATGGGAGACGGGCAGAAGGGGGTGGAGAGGAGGATGGAGGGTGCTGGGACATCTTGAGGGCTTGTTGCTTTTACTGAAGAGCATATAATCCCCTTTTGTGTCAGCTCCCGCAGCTGAGACAGTTCCTCCTCACCAACCTGGTGGAGGTGGAGGGCCGCTACAGCTGGCGAGTGAACCTGGAGGCTATTTCCCACCACTTGGCAGATATCATGAACTTCCCTGTCTTCCACAAGCCTTATCCTGGCCCCGCACTTTTCTTGGGAGGATCCAACTCGCCCTATATCAGGTGGGACTGGAGAGAAGCAGTTTGAAGCCTGTGGTTTAGTCCCTTGTGCTCTTCTGCAGCTGCCAAGGGTGGGAGGAAGCCCCTGAGATGGGGAAGGTCCTGGGAACAAGCTCAGTGCCTCCAGCAGCCGATGACACCAACGCACTGGAGAGCCAGGGGGAACCTGGGGGCAGCCCTGGGCTTTCCCAGCCAGGAAGGGGACATGGTCAGAGCTGGGGAGGCTGAGGGAAGGCACCTGGATGGCCCTCTGACCACGCTTCCCATGGCACCTTCCCTTGTCCTGCAGCTCTGAACACTACCCGGAGATCCAGCGCCTCTTCCCCAAAGCGGATGTCCAGCACATCGAAGGTGCAGGCCACATAGTCCATCAGGATAAATTTGAAGAATTCATCACTGCTGTCCTCAATTTCCTGCCACCGCCATAGCACTGGGGACCAGGATTTCTGCAAGCACCATGTGGGACCTGAGGAGCTCCGGGCAGTGACGTGGGGCTCTGTGAGAAGGGGCTCGGCCCAGACCGGCTGCCCACTTTGCAGTCTGATTCTGCCTGCAAGGACTTCCCCCACCCCAGGTCTCCTGGAGCTGGAGTGGAGAGGCACCTCCATCCAGCTGAGCTCTCCTTGCAGGGACACGGGGTGGCACCAGCTCAGGACACTGCCCTTGCTGCGCAGCGTGCCCCACCTGCGCTGGAGTGTCTCTGGGAGGGGACAGGAGAGCCCTCTCATTTGCCTGCTGACAGACCACCTGGTTGTGGATCTGGGTGTGACTTTGCAGAACGTGCAATAAAGCTGAATCCATGCCAAGGCAGAAAATGGTTTGGATGTGGCCGTGGAGGACAGGGAGGGCAGTGACGGGCACAGGAAGGGGCTCTCACCAGCCGTGATACTGGTAGCAGGTGACAACTGGCCTGGGCCGGTAAGATGCGGAGCTGGGGGAGCAGCAGGCAGAAGATATGGGGGAGCAGCAGGCAGAAGATACAGGTTTGAGGATCTTCCGTGGCTCCCGGGGGGAATCGCATCCTTCCTCTACCTCAGGGGCAGCGGGAGGATCGGGGAGGGGGAGGAAGCCGCCTCCTGAGCAAGGAGATGCCATGAGCCTTCAAGAGGGAGGTAGGGAAGTCCTCCCAGAGCCATCTGCCCAGCCTGCTCCAAAGGGTGTCCCCTCCTCCCTCAGCTCCCTCTGATTTCTCACCTCCTGCCTACTCGTCTCCCCGAGAAGGACACGTAACAGCAGCTACTGCTGGTCTTAAGGACCATCCGCCCGCCGCAGGCTAAAGGCAGAGGAGTGGTGCTGTCTGCTCTGAAAACCCCTTTATTAGACAACTGGTAAAGCCAGAGATGGGGCAGAAGCAGCTCTGGGGGCGACAGATTGTCTCTGTCGCAAAAGGGGACAGGCTCTGGGGACAGTTAAGAGAGACACTAACCAGCATTTGGTGTCTCTGCCGCTCCCTGGGAAGGGTTTGCTCAGTTTGGGGCTGTTGGGAGGACAAAAGGAAGGGAGGACAGGAGACCAAGGACTGTTTTATTCCAGGTCTGTTTGTAATTGCCTAGCGGAGAGGTGGAAGTAGGTGGTTTGGAGATTCACTGTGTTTCTGCAGAGCTGTTCTTGGCTTTTCCTCTTTTTCTTTCCTTTTCCAAGGAAGCGCATCTCTCTGGAGCAGGGCTGTGTTCACTTTGAGCTTTCTGCCGTGTCACCCCCAAATTCAAACACTTTTGCTGGCTGTGTATTATCTTTTCACCTGTGGAGAACATTAGACCGAGAAGCTCCTGAGACATGGGCTACTGAAACGAGTTCCTTGAGCACCTGGCCTCTGCTATGGCCAGCTGGGAGATGGGGATGGAGTCAGGCCACTGCCCGGCCCTGGACCCCAGCACACAAGTCCTTTGGCTAGCCTGTGCGAGCGCAAGGTCTGGAGGCCAGGAGCGATGGGGAATTTCTCCCTGCTCCTCCCTGCTGACCAGGTAACGGATTTGGGGCACAGACAAAAGGCTGTCTCAGAGGTATGAGGTGAAGAGACTCACCTTGGGCAGGAGATCAGTGGCCTGGGAAGAGGTAGAACTTCCTGAGCATTGTAGTCCGTTCTTGTGATGGCAACTGCCGAGGGAATTTTCCAAAGGAATATTGGATCTGGGATGAGAGAGACAGCAGGGAGAAATGAGAGCACCTCATTTCCCACCATGGGAAGGGTACAGGAAGTCAGGAGGCATCCCCAGGGGCATCTCCAGGCATGTGTCTGGTGGCACAAGGGATGCCATGGGCTGTGACAACATGCTGGGCTTGTGCGTGCACATGTGGTGGCAGAGTGCTGATGCCTCCAGAGATCCAGCTGAATTTCCAGGCCAAACCAGATCCCTTTTGGACAGAGCCTGCTCCCAAAGGGCCTGCCGAGAAATGGCCTGCCCTGGCCTGAGCTCTGCTCTGAGCAGCGTTTCTGACCGTTGGCATGGCTGCATCTGCTGGCACACCTGCAGTTAACTACAAAGCCTCACCTTTCGGAAGATCTCCTGTAAGTCGCTGTTACAGGCATAGTTTCTAAACTGCTCTATCAGGTGCTGGATGAAAACGGAGCCTGTTTCTGAGCTTCTCCAGGAGACAGTATCTGGGGAGGGAGAAGATGCCAAGTGTGATTTCACTGGTGTCCCTCACTCTAACAGTGATTAACGCTGGGTGCCGGAGCAGGAGACTGGGACACCTTCTCTGAGATCATTATATTTGGCCCATCCAACCCACAGCATGGGAAAAGGACAAGGCATCCCAGGGAAGACAGAAGCGACGGGAATATTTTCTTCAAGCCTCTCTGCTTTTCTTCTCAGCTGCCAGGCTGGCACGGCCGGGAGCCATCTGTGACCCAGCAGAAGACAATTTTCCCCTGGCCAGCCACTGCTGTGAGATAAATCGGCAGGCAGAGCTGGTGGGGAAGGCTGGAGCAGGGGCAAGGGAAGGCAGCCAGGCAGGGACACAAAGCTCTGGCCCTGGTGCCACTAAGAGGGATCTGTGGGTGTCCTGGAGCAGCCTTGCACCCTGGCATCAGGGGAAACTGCCTTTGCCAGAGGCAACGCCCCAAGTGGTCATGAGATGGAAGGGATTGCCGGCAACCCGCCCAAAGGAGGAGGATGTGTGGAGACCCCTGGCATCAGGCCACCCAGTTGTCCTTGCCTCCCTCAGGTGGGGCGACTGTCTCCAGGAACTGCTTACCAGGCGTGGAGGAATGTAAAGTGGCAAAATCACTTTCCAGGTGGACTTCAAAGATTGCGTCATCTTCCAGCCCTGCAGGGATCTTGTGAGCTGAGCTGAGAGGGCACATGGAACGGTCTGCGGAGTCGCTCACAAACACAGACCCTTTGTTTCCTAGGAAGGCAGGGACAGCCATGAGCGACGATGGGGGTGTCCCGTCCCCACCCTGTGCCCAGGGCTCACATGCCCTGGAAGAGCCTGGCCGGCTCGCTTGCTTCCCAGGCACCTCCTAGCAGGGACTCACTTCCACGGCAGGACTGGATAATCACCACTTTGGGTTTGCCCAGCAGCGCACGGCAGGACTTGTTGTTGAATGTCTCATAGATGGTGTCGAGGGAAAGGATGTCTGTGGTCTCGTTTCTGCTCTTGGTCCCGCAGAGCCCAGCCCTGACCCCGTGGGACATGAAGACCAGGAAGGTGCTGTCAGAGGTGCAGTGATGTTTGCACTGTGCAAACTCCTTCATGACCATAGCCATCCCCTACAAACCAGAACAAGGAAGGAACATCAGCCACCTGCCACCAGCTGTGTGGAGACCCAGCCACCAGCTGTGGGCAGAAGCCACTGCCATTAGGGACAGAGGTGTCCCCATGGTGCCTGAGCCCCCCATCACCAACACACAAAAGGAGGGTTTCTGCACCACTCCTGGTGCCAGTTGCAGCTGCTTTGTGTAGTCCTTTACCTCAGAAGTTAAGTTGTGATGGATGTCCACCACGTACCCCAGCCCCTCCAGCAGCTTCGTCATCCCCTCCACATCCACTTTAGCCCCATCCCGCCGGCTCAAGTGCTCAAACTCAATGTTGCAGATGAGAAGGGCCCTACGGGTTCGCGTCTCCCGTGGTAGATGGATGGGATAGATCTGTGAGGATGGAGAGAAGCAGCACTCAGTGGTGGGTGCGGCAGGGGGCCTTTCCTAAGAGGCAGCTAATAGCAGAGAAGGCTCACGCATGCAGCAATCACATCTCCCCGTCCCTGGGGCACCTCCCCACATCTCCTGCCCTGCTCCTGGGTCAGCGAAGACCCTGGCTCCCCTCAGCAAGCCCCTGCCAGCTCCGGTAGAGCAGCCGGGCCACATTCCAGCCCTCCTCTCATCTCCTCTGCCTGCAGCACCTGGTTTCCCTCTGTGTCCCTGATGCGCTGGTACTCGCTCAGGGAGCACTGCCGGATCCACTGCTGGCCCTGGATGCTGACGGAGGGCCCAGGAGCAGCCTCAGTGTCAGGGGAGGCCAGCTGCGCAGCGGGGGACCCTGCAAGCAGAAAGCCCCACAGTTACACTGGGAAGCGTGTGCAGCGAGAGGGGACCATCACAGGGCATGGACAGGCAAGCGAAGCTGTTCAGCCCCATGGGGATGGCCACCCCTGAGAGACCTGTCGTCACTGCATGGCAAGGGGGACTCAGTGCCACAGCAGTGACACCGGGGACGCCCAACTGCCCCTTGCCTGCAGGCCTCGAACACTTGCCAGGGCCATGCCACCCTCCAGCACCCCACCGGAGCCCCAGCATGGCCAGGAGCAAACCACAGCCCCGCATCTCTCACCCGACTCAGCCGCCAGACCCAGCTGCTTTGCCAAGGTGCCATCGCGCTTCCTGAGGCTGTCGATGAAGATCTGGCTGGCCCTGGTGCCCTTGAGGCGCACGCTGTCGATGAGGCAGCGAGCCTTGTCAGTGCGCACCGTGTATCTATCCTGCACTTCGTCCACCTCATCGAGGCTCAGCACCCCTTGGGCCAGCAGCTCGTCCAGCAGCCCAGAGATCACCGGCTTGTTCACACGCTCCACAAAGGCTGTCCGCACATCCAGGAGCAGCTGATCTGCAGGGCAGCCCAGTCAGTGCCCGGAATAACCATGCCACGGCTCCTGCTGCCACACCACCTGCTCTGGGTGCTTCCCCTTCCCCACCGCCTCCCCAGTGTGCTGATCCCTTCCCCATCACCCCTCTAGCTGCTCCCCCTTCCCCATCACTCCCCTGGGTGCTGCCCCCTTCCCTGTTGCCCCCCCAGCTGCTGATCCCTCCTCCACCATCCACCCTGGGTGCTATTCTCTCCTTCACTGTCCACCCCGGGGGGTTCCCCTGCCATCGCCCACCTCCCCCTTTTCCCCCACACCCACAGAAAGTGCCCCAGTGGACACATTTGCAAGAAGCAGGGCCCCAGCTACTCAGGTTTGCAGTGTCCCGGGCCGCAGCCTGCATGC